CCATTTCGTGAGTGTGAGCTAACGGGTAAACCGATCGTAGCATCGTCACGCGAACCTAATATTCGGCACTCTGCTAGTAGCGGAACCTTCGACCCACCTGAGCCCCTCATGGCCGAGAACATGTGATTCATATGAAAGAAAGCCCACCTCTTCGTATTAAAATGAATCTGAGAATACTTTTCCCTAAAGTTCTGTTCCTCGCTTGTGAATTAATCAAGATTCAATTCGGCATTATGTCCTTTCCAACTATTCTATTCGTTCCAGGCGCCTGGCATGGCATCGAAGCCTTTACGTTAATTCGCGAGGTCATGTTAACCCTGGGGTATCCCACATCAGCTGTTCATCTACCGAGCGTCGGCAGCAGCCATGCTACTGTTGGTGTTCCAGAAGACTCTGCAGCAATCCGTGAGGAGCTTCAAAAACTGATCAGCGAAGGGAAGGATGTGGCCGTAGTCACGCACTCATATGGTGGTATCCCCGGATCGAATGCACTGGAGGGGCTGAACAAAAGAGATAGAGTGAAGCGCGGCGAACAAGGTGGAGTCCTGAAAATCATTTACCTGGCGTCATCTTGTATACCTGCTGGAACCTCGTTGCTCGAAGGGCTCGGCGGAACGCCTTTTGACTGGTGGGATATAAAGGTTATTTGAGAAGACGAACCCACCCTTCGATGAATGTCTGTCCTAACAAGGCTCTCTAGAACGGCTTCGTAACGCCAAAGAACCCGATTGAGATGTTTTACCACGACGTTGAACCAGGGCTTGCCGCAAAGGTGGCCGCCACACTTCTACCAGTGGCGCAAGAGATCATGCACGGGAAATGCGAGTTTGAGCCATGGAACCAAGGTTTCAACGTTAGCTACATATTCACTCAGGAGGATTCGACACTGCCTTTTGAGGTCCAGCAAGCTATGGCTTCTCAGTTTCCTGAGGGCAGCTTCACTATTAGCCTGCTCACAAGCCATTCTCCCTTCTTGAGCGCTCCGAAGGAACTAGGGAATGCTATCCAGGCTTGTATCAAATATACTGGCAAGGTTTGACCTAGCGTAAAGGGTTATCGAATAGAGATGGACCTGCCTCTCCTTCTAGAGCAATCAACGTACAATAGTATAACAACTAAGGAAGCAGGACAGCTGTGAACTAGCGACCCAGCGACCGGTGAATGAAGGGACTGCTATAATACAGCCAGTTAGCAGGCGCTTTATAACGTAGTCTGAGGAGCACGTTAGCTTCAATCACCTATAACCTTTCTAGAAGATTCTATTACTCTAGCCTCATACTAATAAGTTCTTTGAATTAAAAGTTCTTCTCGTCTCAGACTACTCAGTCCCAGTGTAAGCTCTCGAACTCGGTACTATTGTCACCTATAGCTGTCATTAGACTCTCCAATAAGAACTAGCATTAACGCCCTTATATCAATTCCTCGGCCTCCCTATGATCTCCTACGAGGGATTCTAAGCCCTCTCGGGGTACACTCCCGTACTTAAGCGCATCAGCTGCTCCCTAAGCTGTACGACCCTGCAGAAACACTGGATCTCGAGCGAGAGTATCCATGACAAGACTTGCTCTCTCGAACACGCTATGGAAAGGTAATCTCTTGTCCGAAGATATACCCGTGGGGTAGACTGTCAGTCGCCCCTTAATCCTGAATCCATCTCTCAAGGAGGCAAACGGTTGCAGGACGTCAAGATCTCCAGTAGTCCAATTAACATATGCAGGCCAGGCACCTCGTCGGCAAAGACTATGTTAAGGACCATATCCGTCTCTGCATCCTTGTAGCTCCCTGTAAACCTGCGAGCCCCATTTTGTCTTTCGGCTTGCTCAAGGGCAGGGACTATAGCTTGGGCGACCGTTTCGAGGAGCTGTCTCCCGAGTTCACCGCTGGCAGGATTCATAGAGACCATGAAAAGCAGGTATCCGAAGTCGCAATCAAGCGAAAAAACGATGTAGGCGGTGCGAGCGCCTATGCCGCCGCTCTTGGTGTAGAGGTCGACACGGCGGGTTAGGTTCGACCCTCCTGCGAGGCGCAGCAGCATGGAGTAAATCTCCCAAGGCATGCCGACAGATTGCCTGAGCCCGAAGGTAGAGCTGACTTGATTGAACCACTCGCGGGTTACAGTTGGCGTTAGGATCACCGAGGAAAGTATGGATTGACCGAATTTTGTCATGTTACCTGTGGAGAGAAAAAGGCTGCCAGCACTACTCCACGTTATCTAAGGATAGTGATATAGCTCCTAAGTCATGCCAGTTCTAGAGACTTGCACTGTCATTAATGAAGATGGATAAGATATGTAAGCGTTTGTATCTGTGGAGCACAGGATCCAACATCTTAATTATCGCGCAAGCAGACCTTTGGGGCGCGTTGGCGATAGGTCTATCCAGCCAGTTAAGTGAGGTCGACTCGGCCTGTGAGGTTAATTGAGGTTCTCGCCATTCTGTAGATATCTTATGAGTAAGTAAATCCCTTGTCAGCCGGTGATGTGAGTTTTGCTGCCGGGACGACTCATATCACACTTTGATGCGAAGAAGGCTCGCATACTCTTCCGCACCCAATTGAGACATCATGTGGAAGCATGCTCTCCGAACCTAATGGAAAACCCCGCAATAACGGGCGGGGAGTCTGGAGAAATTCCCTAAAAGAAGTGCGGATGTTGTGAAGCCGCGTCGTAATGGGGCGGTTAAAGTGCGTTCCTACGTTTACCCGCATTGTCAAGCCTGGCGCAGCCGATCTACATCTCGGCTAAGAGGAAGCTGCTTGATCATGTTTATAACTAGGAGTCGGCAAGTTAACCTTCCTCGATGGGCTTATTCTCTCAACTATCCTTTTTCGAAATGAAGGTGACGACTACAGTCCTCCTAGCAATCGTCTCGGTGGTCACGGCGCTGCCCCAGGGCAAAGCCGCACAGCCAGATGAAGACGTACGTACAGCGAGACGCTCTATGCTACCTTGAACTGACGTGAATAGAACTTTCGCTTCGTCGGGCGAGTGAATCCCGAGACCCGGGAGCTCACATGGCCTAGCACTGGCGTCATCTTCACCTTCGAGGGCACCCGGGCTTCAATCAACATCCAAAATGTAACCGGCACCACCAGCGCAGATCTGACCATCGACGGCGGCGAACCTATCCTCATCGCCAATATCGAGGGCGATTCAATTGACACGCCCTCTCTGCCCGACGGAACCCACACGATCGAGCTCCGTAAGCGCTCTGAGACGTACTTCGGGACGTTTCGCGTCAAGGATGTGACCACGGATGGCCAGTTTCTCTCGCCTCCCGACCCTAAACGCCGAATTGAGGTCATTGGCGACTCGCACTCTGTAGGGTACGGCCTCGACGGTATCTTCCCCTGCACCGACTCGGCACTCGTACAGAACAATCCGAAGACCTATGGAGCAGTG